AGGAGAATTGCCTGAACCCAGGAGGCGGAGGTTGCGGTGAGCCGAGATCGCGCCATTGCACTCCAGCCTGGGTAACAAGAGCGAAACTCCGTCTCAAAAAAAAAAATTAAAAAAGAGTGGGAAAGGCTTTAATTGGCTCATTCTTTTCATTTATTTTTTATTCATTTATTTTTTTTCTTTTCAGCCAATGACAACCTCAATTGTAGCTCGTTCTTAAGGAAACAGATAAACCATTTAGGAAAGAAACAATATGAATGTGATGTGTGTGGCAAGGTCTTTAATGAGAAGCGATGTCTTGAAAGCCATCGTAGATGTCACACTGGTGAGAAACCTTACAAGTGTAATGAGTGTGGCAAGACCTTCAGTCACAAGTCATGTGTTCTACGACATCGCAGAGTTCATACAGGAGAGAAACCTTACAAATGTCATGAGTGTGGCAAGAACTTCAGTCAGATGTCATCCCTTACATGCCATCTTAGACTTCATACTGGAGAGAAACCTTACAAGTGTAATGAGTGTGGCAAGAGGTTTAATAAGGTATCATACCTTAGATACCATCATAGACGTCATACTGGAGAGAAACCATACAAGTGTAATGAATGTGGCAAGACCTTTAGTCGAAAGTCATCCCTTACATGCCACCGTAGATTTCATTGTGGAGAGAAACCTTACAAGTATAATGAGTGTGGCGAGACCTACCATGAATTGTCATCTCTTACATGCCATTGTAGACTTCATACTGGAGAGAAACCTTACAAGTGTCACGAGTGTGGCAAGACCTTCAGTCAGGCGTCATCCCTTACCTGCCATCATAGACTTCATACTGGAGAGAAACCTTACAAGTGTCATGAGTGTGGCAAGACCTTCAATCAGAAGTCATCCCTTACATGCCATCGTAGACTTCATACTGGAGAGACACCTTACAAATGTGAAAAATGTGACAAAGGCTTCACTCGCAAATCACACCTTGAAATGCATAAAATAATCCATAGTGGAGAGAAACCATACAAATGTATGGTTTGTGATAAGGCTTTTGCATGTGATTCATACCTGGCAAAACATGCTAGAATTCACACTGGAGAGAAACCTTACAAGTGTAATGAGTGTGGCAAGACCTTCAGTCATACGTCATCCCTTACATGCCATCGTAGACTTCATACTGGAGAGACACCTTATAAGTGTCATGAGTGTGGCAAGACCTTCCATCAGTTGGCATCCCTTACATACCATCGTAGTAGACTTCATACTGGAGAGAAACTTTACAAGTGTCATGAATGTGACAAGACCTTCCGTCAGATGTCATATCTTGTATACCATCGTAGACTTCATACTGGAGGGAAACCTTACAAGTGTAATGAGTGTGGCAAAACCTTCATTCGAAAGTCACACCTTACATACCATCGTAGACTTCATACTGGGGAGAACTGACAAATGGAAGCTTTGTGACAAGGGTTTCTAGCATGATTCATACCTGGCACAAAATACTAGAATTCACACTGGAGGCCATCCTTACAACGGTAATGAGTGTCCAAGACCATCAGTAGTAATTCATCACCTGTAATTGAAAACCTCTCACGCCTGCCTTGTACAACAACTATCCCCCTCTCCAATGTGAAAACCCTGTGTGCTCCCCCCAGCATCATCTTCCTCTGCAGCAGGTAGACAAACGTATGTTTAGTTGCAAACTGGAGGGGGGTGTATATCCGGGCATTCCTAACCGCAGAAATCTCATTTTCCGTGGACCAAAAAATTAAAATGGTTCTAAATCATCACTACTACTGGTCCAAATCAGCTGCGTTACTTCCCCTCTTAGTAGGAACTGGAACAGCAGCCAGGATAGGGACCACAATAGGAGGCATTGGCACTTCAGCCCATTTCTGTCATAAACTGTCCCGGGAACTCAATGATGACATGGAAAGGGTGGCCAATTCCCTGGCCTCCCTCCAGAAGCAGTTAAATTCCCTAGCCACAGTAGTCTTACAAAATGCAGAGCCTTGGGCTTCTGGCTCAGAAGGCAGTTACCTGCCTCTTCTACAGGAAGGGTGTTACTACTGTGTCAATCAGTCAGGAGTAGTAACAGGAAGTTAAAGAGCTAAGGGACCGCATTCAAAGGTGGCGCACAGTCAGCAGCTGGAGCTTCCCAGGGCTCCGAACCTGGATCCACTGGGCTCTTCCCCTCCTTGGGCCTTTGCTAGTAATCTTTTTGGTCCTTACCTTTAGTCCCTCTGTGATTAACATACTCCAGTGCTTCACGGAAGCCACGGTTGTCAGATAACTGCCCAGTTGCTAGCCTTTTGGGGATACAAGCCCCTGAGCACAGATGTTGATTTGTAAAAGGTGATCTCCACATGTAACATAAAGAGCATCAAAGGGGTGGATAAGATGGAAGGGCTGTGTGAAAGGCCTGTGAGGAAAATTTCCTGAGTGTCTAAAATAGCTGCCTTAGCTACCTTACCTGCGTTTGTTCTTCTATACATCTGCTTCCTGCTTACTAGTGAAAATCCCCCTGCACAATTGCTCCATTGCCTGAAAATTGTCAGTTACTCCCCTTGCCCCTAACCTGTAAGAACTGTGTTCTCACTCAGGCCGGGGTCCAGACTTTTGGGTGCTCACCTGTCTGGGCCTGCTGGTGTAATAAACTGTTGTCCTCTGACACTCTGAGTGCCATTTGGGTTTCTTGTCCGGAGAAATTCCAGGAACAACATGTGCAAAATTTTGATTTTTTTTTTTTTCATTGAGACGGAGTCTCCCTCTGTCATTAGCCAAGAGTACGTAGTGCAATCTCAGCTCACTGCAACTCCCGCCTACCTAGTTCAAGCAATTCTCCTGCCTCAGCTTCTGAGTAGTTGGGCCTACAAGTACTGGCCACTATGACCAGATAATTTTTGTCGTTTTAGGAGAGACGGGGTTTCACCATGTTGGACAGGTTGCTCTTGATCTCTTGACCTCATGATCTGCCCACCTCAGGCTCCCACAGAGCTAGGATTACAGGCGTGAGCCAACCCACCTGGCCGACATGTGCAAAATTTAAATGAGTAATACTCTATACTGCATAAGCAGAATTACTATTTTCGTGAGGAAACATTTGTAAGGCAATCATTAGGGCACTCAACTTGGCTTGTTGCATAGTTTTAAAATGGTTTTGGATTTTGTGTTGCTAATTTCGCATGGCATTTTGCCACACTAGCTGTTTTTTGCTGTAGTTTTGAACCATTTGTAAAGACAGTAGCGGCCTGAAGCAAGGGCTGAGAGATAACAATAGACACAAATTTCACAGGCACAGTTTGTAACAAGTTTAGAAGCTTAGAGGCTGGTAAATGAAAGCTGACATTACTAATAAAGTTAGCTATTGCTATTTGCTAATTAAAATTACACACAGAGAGGTATGAAATTGTATTTTGCTTAATGGTAGGAAAAGAATAGCAGGATTATATTTTGATAATTAGACACAATGCTGGCATCCTTTTATGAGAAGAGAAGCTGTTTGTGGCTTTTTTTATATGTTTAAAGGGATTATAGAATATAAATTCTATATAAAATTACGAAATGCGTAAAGATAAGGCCGGGCATGATGTTTCACATCTTTAATCCCAGCACTTTGGGTCGCTGAGGTGGGTGGATCAAGAGTTCAGGAGTTCAAGACATGCCTGGCCAACAATTTGGAAACCTGTCTGTACTAAAAATACAAAAATTAGCGGACATGGTGGTGTGTGCCTGTAATTTCAGGTAGTCAGGAGGCTGAGGCAGGAGAAATGCTTCAACTGGGACCTAGGAGACAGAGGTTGCAGTGACCCGAGATCACACCCCTCCATTACAGCCTGAACTAAACAGGCTAAACTCTGTCTCAAAAAATAAAAAATGAAAAATTAATGATATTATAAATGAACAAAGGTAAAACCTATTTGTTAAATTAAGGCATAAAAGGGATGGATATTTTAAACTATTTCTCCCATATTTAGGCCCTTTAAAGTTATCAGAATGATATAAGTTGCTAGGATAATAAACCTACATTGAGTTAACCTAAGTGTGTAAAATAATGAGAACCCTCCCCCAAAATATTGTTTAAATGTTTTTAGTTCTGGCAATTTTTCTGCATTAGCCTTTAGCTGGAATGTTTTAGAAGTGAGCTTGGGAAGGCAGGGCTGGGGCCAGTTTTTCCCTTTGCTATGGGCTTTTGAAGTGGCCTATCTTTAATATCCTGCCACCTGCTGCTGCTCTTACCCTTCGAGGAAGGAAGGACGATGACAGGTGGCAGCGAGGCTAGAGAATGACCAGGTGGTAAAGTGCACATAGAAGCGCAGGGGCAGGAAGCTAGAGGGTACCAGGCTGGGGGAAGGCTGCTTTAATTGCAGGCCACTTATGCTTGGAGCCAACCCTGTTAGGTAAGGTGCTGAAAATATTCTCGGCTTTTTATTATTTTAATTATCCCCAAGCAGAGAGGCTTAGGGGAGGAGCAGACATGCAGCATAGGGTTTGCTTTGAAGTGTTTTAGCCACAGTGTTTTTAAACATTTTATGAAAAAGTGAGACATACTGTGTTTATTTTTGAAGATGACTGCAGCTGGCAGAGCTTGTGTACCTTAGCCTGCTGAGCGTTTAACATGACTATGGGAGAGCGCCCCTAATTAGCGGGCTTTTTTCCCAGAGCATTGCACTTTAGGCTGCTTTGCACTTCTTTGCCCACCTTGGGCTAATAACGTTGGGGTGCCCATGGACTGTTTTTTAGCCCTTTTCCTAGAGGGTCAGGGAAGACAAGAAATTGCTTGTTAACTAAGACATGTGAGGGGGCACAGTTCCTCAGGCACATGACCATGGTGAGGAGGATTCTTAGGACCGGGCTGGAGCTGCCTGCAGCCACCCAGAGACTCGGCGTGCACCTTTTGGCCTCCCCTCCATCACCACAAACCCCAAAAGAGGCAACCTGCCTAGACTACCAGTGACCAAACGGGCACTCCATGGCATCTTAGCCACTCTCCTGGCCCAGGTGTCTATGGGCAGCAAGAAAGCCAGAGCTTTCCCTTATACTCCAGGGAAACAGAAAGCCAAGGCCGGGAAGGTGGATGCTGGAAGTGGAAAGTGGGAACTTGCATATTAGGAAGACAATCATCCTCAGCCACTTTCCTTCCCTCCTGGAGGCTCCCCTCCAGCAGCGAAGTGTGTGGAGGGGATGCGGCCACCCAGTTGTATAGATGTTCGCTAACTGGGGGTCTGATTTAAGAACCATCCTGATTATGGGCTTGAACCCTTGTGTGAAGGGTGCAGTACCTTAGCTGGAGTGGGGTAGAGGTGGGCCGGCACCCCCTTCTCAGCTCTGGTGCTGTCAGCCTCAAGATCAGACAAGGCCCAGAACTTGAAGGTCTTGGTAGGTGGCCACTTGTCATGCTATGGGGCATGGGCACCACACTGAAGCTGCTGCTGGGGGCCGCGCTATGGCGTACGGTGTCCACAGATCTGTGTTCACTGTCGAAGGTAGGCAGAGAGCCCACCTTCTTCAGTCGGATTCGTGGAGTGCAGCAGGACACTGTCCTGGCCAAAGTCCTTCACTTCAGGCTTTTCTGGTTCCGGGACACCACTATCTATGACATTCAGGTCAGATCTCAAAATAACTCCTCCCCCACTGGCTCCAAAGACCTGCAGATGGTCAATATCTTCCTGCTAGTGCTGTCTTGAGCCAGTGCTCAGGAGCTTCCTCACATGTACCAGCTCCTAGGGCTAGAGTATGAGGAACCTGTGTTGCAGTCCATTGTCTAGGAGGTTGTCAAGAGTGTGGTGACCAAGTTCATTGCCTGAGGCCGAGGACTTAAGGCTCGTCCTGGATGATGACTTAAGGCATCACAGAGCTGAGCTTTAACCGAGAGTACACAGCTGCTGTATCTTACCTCATCTAGATTATGAATATCACGTGTTATTTTGAACATAAAATCTACTCTATAGAGAAAACACTGTATTTAGTTATTTCTAATTTGTTGTTGTTGAGACAAGTAGCTCTGTCACCCAGGCTAGGGTTCAGTGGCGCTATGTTAGCTAATTACAACCTCCACCTTCTAGGGTCAGGTGATTTTCCTGCCTCAGCATCCCGAGTACCTGGGATTACAGACACGTAACACTACGCTCACCTAATTTTTTTTGTATATTTAGTAGAGACAGGGTTTCACCATGTTGGCAAAGCTGATTTCGAACTTCTGACCTCAGGTGATTGGCCCACCTCTGCTTCCCAGAGTGCTAAACTGTAGGCATGCGCC